GGAAGCCCTTTTACAAGCAAACGGAGGAATCGTAATTAATGGAGAGATTGTAAATAATATTCGATACGCGGACGACACTGTACTAGTTGCAAGAACAGTAGAAGAATTACAAAGATTACTTACAGACATAAATATTGCTTGCAACAATTATGGTATAAATATCAATATTAAAAAAACCAAGTATATGGTCTTCAGTAAAAACATGACACAACCAGCGTATATTAGTATAAACGGCACTCAAGTTGAAAAAGTATCAAGTTACAAATACTTGGGAACTTTAATAAACGAAACTGGAGACCAAAACAGTGAAATAAAAAGACGTATCGAAATTGCCAGGGCCACCTTCATAAAGATGAGAAAATTCTTCTGCAACAGAAATATAAGCATCCCTCTACGATTAAGAATGCTGAGAGGCTATGTATTTAACACGCTATTATACGGTGTAGAGGCCTGGACTCTCAAACAGAACAACATGAAAAATATTGAAAGTTTCGAGATGTGGTGCTACCGTCGAATGCTGAAGATTAGTTGGGTTGAAAGAATAACAAACTGTGAAGTAATACGAAGAATAGGAAAAGACCCAGAGATTTTGTTAACGCTAAAGCGAAGAAAACTCGAATATTTTGGTCACCTGATGAGAGGACATAAATACGCATTACTTCAAAATATAATGCAGGGAAAAATAGAAGGAAAACGGAATCCAGGCCGTAGAAGAATGTCATGGTTGCGGAATTTGAGAGAGTGGTTTGGCTGCACCACTAATGAACTCTTTAGGTCAGCCGTAAACAAGGTCAGAATAGCCTTGATGATTTCCAATCTCCGATGAGTATATTTATAAAAATAATAAAAGCTTTGATTTTTAGCATTTTTTTATAGCAACAGAAATCGCTATCTCCTAACAGAATCTCCTATCCTAATTACTGACGGAACTTGTAAGTCCCATCTCTGGAAAAGAGTCCTTGTAGCAGAAAAATAAAAAAAAATTGTTTTTTTTTGAAAAATCTTTGAAAAGGGTTAAAGCAGTACTAGAGTTTCTCAATAGCCATAACATCTTCTCCGACATCATCCTTCGTTATTATTTGCTTTTTCTAGAAGTTTTCTTCAAATTGCCTGCTGTTTCAGGTTTTTGAACTTTCTGTGTAAGAGATTCGAGCACTTATTTTCGTTTCAAATAAGTATGGTGAGATCTGTATCGGTTCGCAGTCAATAAACAATCTTGCGTGAACTATTACATATATTGTTCACTGTATTTCCGTCTGAGCTTTTTTATGATCCTTCCCTGAAGTTTTTGTGTACCCTTTTGTGTAAACCTTCTCTGGCAATTGTATTAGGCGAGTCCCTTTGTTGTTCGCCTCTTCATATATATTGTGTTCCAATGGTTGGTGCATATTTCTGCTCCTTACTCTCTTTGCTTTAAAAGCTCCTATTAAGATTTTAACATCAATTTTTGTCAGTCTTGTATTATGCTTTCCAGTGTTGTTCGTAAAATCCTTCATTTTCCTAATCGAGTTTCTTCCCAGTTGGTGCACGAGTATTCACTATTAAGTACTTAACAAAATTATCCCTGATCCGTATTTTCGAAGTTTTATAGTGATCGAAAACGTTATATGTGTACAATTACAACTTTTATCCTCCTCCTCAATCTTTTCTCCTTCGTAAGGATGTAGCGGCGTTATGTAATTTGTTTGACTATTTCTGTCCTATTATCTCTTTCCTGTGCGTGTTGTTTTGCTCCGGAGAATGAGTAACCAGTCGAGATGACTGGTGACTGATTTGGTCCGACCATTGTACTGGAGATTTTCATCTGGATATTTTACCCGCTACGTTACCTTCAACTATCATTCGCTCCATGCCTTTTTTTCTTCTAGTTATATGTCCAAAGTATCTTAATGTATTTTGGTTGATAGTTGTGATGAGTCTAGTTTTTATTTAAGTTCTGCTAGAATTGAGTTATTTGTGCGATGGGCGGTCCATGGTATGCGCAACATTCTACGGTAGACCCATATTTCAAATGCCATTATACGCTTTGAATCGGCTTTTTTTATTGTCCAAGTTTCTGAAGCATAGGTGGCGATAGGAAATATCAATGCTCGAACAAGGCGTAATTTTGTGTTTTTTGTGATGTCAGTGTTCTTCCAAATTTTTGTGAGTTTGGCTGTTGTCGATCTGGCCATTGTGATGCGTCGATGGATCTCGTCTTCGCATCCTCCACTGTTAGTAATAACAGAGCTTAAGTAATTAAATTGCCTGACCACTTCGTAACCTGCCATGATTCTTATCTCTGCCTGGTTGTTTCTGATTCTATACATGATCATCACTTTGGTTTCTGCATATTTATTTTCAAACCATATTCCGTACTCACCGTGCCTAGCCTAATCATAATTGTTCCAGTTCTTCTGGTGATGACGCCAATATAACAGTGTCATCAGTATAACTTCAGGTTTTGATTTTTCGTCCTCCTATCGTTGCTCCACCTTGTTATTCCTCAAAAACGACGCATAATATGTTCACTATATATTGAATAGAATAGGGGATAATATGTACCCCTGTCGAACTCCAGATTTTAATTTGAAGTTTTTGGAAACCACATTATTAACTCTTACATTAGCAGTATTATTTACATATAGTTTTTGCCCAACTTTTATACATTCATACAAGTACATTCATACTTTCTCTTTTGGAAGAATGTGTTTACAAACTCTGTATCTAATGCCCTGGCTAATTCAAGCCATACATTGCTTTATATCCGTTTACATCTATCCAGCAGTTGGTGCCAATCTAACTAGCATGCCAGTGCTTGACTAGGGCAGCGCTGGATAGTCACATTTACACGTATCCAGTAGCTGGCTCCAATCTCACTGATACGCCAGTTCCTACTTTATGAAGTCACTCCTGTTTTAACGCAGGTTTACACGTATCCAGTAACTGGCGTCAGTCGCATTGGCATAGTAGTGGTATCATATGAACACTTTTTTGCGTCAGTCCAGCCCTGTCTGTCAGTGCTGTTTCAAATAGAGAGCTGGTCTATTTTCATGCCAGTGGCTCTCGTCTGCGTTTCCTATATCCCCGCGCCAGCGGTTGTAGAGACTTGTCAACACATATACCTGTAAAGAGTACAACAAACGACTGAATTCGCCAAGTAGGAACTGACATGCCAGTGAGACTTAAACCGGCTACTGGATACGTGTAAACGTGATCGTCTAGCTTTGTCATAGTCAAGCATTGGCATGCCAGTAAAACTGGCGCCAGCTGCTGGATACGTGTAAAAGTACCTTTATGTTTATATAATCACCATCATAAGTGTCTCGACAATCTGTTGTGGATATTGGCCTTCTCACAAAGCAGTCGCCACTCCTGTCGATTCCTGGCAATTTCCCTCCATCTTCTGGCCCTTAGAATCTATGGGTCTTCTTCTACATCACCAATCCATCTCCTTCGTGGTCGTCCTCGGCTTCTTGTGCCTTCTGTTTTTGAAAATGTTCTCAGCAATGTGTCCAGCCCATCTAAGTCTCTGCACTTTAACGAATTTCACAATATCTGAATTGGTGTATAACTGATATAGTTCAAAATTGCATCTTCGACACCGTAGCACATTTTTATTCACGGCCCCAAAATCTTTCTAAGAATTTTTCTCTCAAAAATATCAAGAAGTCTTTCATCATTTTGAGATAAGGTCCACGTTTCATCCCCATATATCAAAACCGGTCTTATCAAGGTCTTTTATATATTAGCTTTACTGCACGTTTATATTTTTATTTTTTAAATGTTTCTGGAGACCGTGAACAGTTCTGTTTGCTATTGCTATGCGTCTTTTATTTCGTCGCTTGTCGTGTTTGTTGCGTTTACTAGCGATCCAAGATATGTGAATTCTTTGACTTGCTCAAAGGTATGGTTGTTAATTTGAATTCTCTGTTAGATATTTTGGGGGTTTTTAGAAACCAACATATATTTGGTTTTTTCCCTCGTTTACCACAAGTCCTAATTCACTTGCCGCGTCCGTAAGCCTTGTAAAACACTGCACGATATCTATCATTCTTCTGCCATATAACGATATAGTATGATATATATTATATATATATATATATATCATATATCTAATATTTAAATGTCTGATTGCCTATTTCCAAGGCAATATATGCGATGCTACGCAAATGCGTCCTCCTGTCTTAAACCATTATTAATGTCAAAGAACGTAGAGTTTTCTCCTTCAATTCTAACGCATGAGCTTACGTTTTGCATTGTTAGTTGGGTCAACTTCACTAATTTAGGTGGGATTCCAAAGTCTATCATTGCAATACATAATGCAGTTCTTTTCACACTGTCATGCATTCAGAAGAAATAAAAAAAAAGAATTATAAAATCTGGATTACAAAGATTTTAATTTGTTGTTTTTATTTTATTAAGCTAGTTAAATCCTTTTCGACTAAAATACAACTTCAGGAAGTCCAATCATTAAAAGGCCATTAAGAACTATAATCCATTAATAGGGAAAAATTAATAGGGAAAACCTATTATTAGTACCTATTGATACTATCGGCGGCACTACGTTGAGTTTAAGAAATTTGTTTGTGGGATACTTTAAATATTCAATAAATTACCCATTGCTGATTGAGAATAATTTTATAAATTAATTTTTTGGTGTTTAATTTCTAAATTAAAATATGTCTAAGAACATTAGTATATACATGGATTGCATTCCATCTTCCATCCTGAACTAGGCATTGATAGAGAAAAAATTGACTGAAATTATACTATTGACTTTAGATTTTCATATAAATTAGATTTTAAAAAAGGTTAATAATATGTTCACTATTTTAATCGGATATTTCATCTTGGATTCGCTCACATGAGTATTAAAAAATATATAAATATATACTAAAAATTACAAAATTTTTATGTAGTATTACAAGAAATTATAAGAATGTAAATGAAACTGGTATATTGTAAATATAATTAAATTGTATAAATACGTTTTGTGATATCTAAATTTTCTGTTACAGGGTTTTAGTGGGAGCACCGGAAGGGCAATCAAGGTATCAAGATCCTGGAATAGTTCAGAGAGGTGGCACCGTGTACAAATGTCGATCAGATTCTGACAGTGTTTGTGATCAAATTCCATTTGACAGAACAAGTAAGTAGTTTTTTAATAGTAAATCATAGGAAGTAACGGTACACTTGTGTTGCTAGCTTTTAGATCCTCAGATCTTCAGATTAAAAACAATCCATACGCATATTCCCACATTATTTACAGAACAAAAGTGTTCAACTTGCGACTGAAATAACTTAGCTTTTTATACACACAGGAAAAACTATCATTTAAAACTGGTTTTATCTTTTTCATGAAAACCACACTATATAATTATCAGTTAAAAAAACCACATAAAATATTAGTTCGTCATTAAATGGAGCAGTCTAACAGATATAAACATCCATCAATCATACCATGAAATGTTATTTTTGAGTCATAAAGTCTAACAATATTCTACTTCATGCACTCAGCTCATCTTTTGAAGGGTCTTTTTAATGGTCTCTTACTTGTTGGTTTTGAATCTCTTGCCATCCGGGCTATTATCTCCCATTAACCAATTCTCGTGACATGATGATTCCATTCCCTTCTTTTCTGTCTTTCTCCAACGTACTGTCTTGTATATTCTCTTAATAAAATATTACAGACCAGAGATCTCTTATTCGGTTGTTAGGTATTTTATCTCTCAGTGTTTTCCCAATTATTGATCTCAACATTCTCATTATTTCATATTGTCAATATTCTCTTGATTTCCGCTGTGTTGGGCTTAAGTTTATTATCGGTCTTACACTCGTAAGACGTAACGTATTTATATATACGTATTTTTTCTTTCAGCCTCATATCTTTATTTCTCCAGATTAAATCCGTCAGGTATCTTGACTGACGCGTAAGCCGCTTTGTTTGTTTAAGATTTCATAATCTCGAACCTTGTTCCAGTATTTCATCATTAACTACTATTTGCATCTTCCTGTGGTACCTTGCCCTACGAGGATTTGTCTTAGCTGTTGGTATCTATTCAGATTAAAAATGTTACAATCAAAACATGTTTTTGGTTTTTGGTTAACTAACCAGAAGACAACATCCAACAAGTTAAATGATGTTATAGAAAGTGTTGGCACTAAATTACCGCTTGCAACTAAATGCAGTGGGCAATTAATAATAACTTACGAGTAAGTTAACCCATATTTATACAATAAACAAGGAACCCATTTCTTTTTGGACCAGTGACAATTGCCGTTAAACATATCTTTTTAGAATGACAAACAAACACAAATTGAAAGAATTATAGTAAAATGAAGTATCTCAAACTGTTGTCCAATTAATACAAGAATATTACCACTATTATCTGACATATTAACATTGAGATGAAGTCAAGAATTTATAAAGCAAGCGTAAGACCAATAATGATATATGCATTAAAACCAAGACCAGATACAGACACAACACAAAGGCTACTGAAAACGGCAGAGATAAGAGAACTGAGTAAAATTATAGGAAATACGCTGAGAGATTGAAAGAGGAGTGAAGAAATTAAAAGAAAATGTAACGTACCTGGAGTAATGGAATAAAAATCTTTCAAAGGGGTATCAACTCCAATGAAAAAGCAGAATAACTTGTAAAGAGGAAGACGAAGAAAAATACAGGAATAAAATTGGACTCTTGTTGACCGATTGGTATAATATAGTGTTGGAAAAATAATTATAGTGGCTATTATCCAGATCAATGATATATTTTTAAACAGACAACAATGCATAGGTTTCGTAGATTGATCTCTTTTTTTAACGCGATAAAGAAAAAGCTAAATGAAATTCGAACGAGAAGCTAAAAAATATTATATAGTCTGATATATACCATATATTTATAATATGTACAAACTTAAAACCGTTGCTCGATTAATTGGCAGTATCAGTTGCAAATAGAAGAGACGAAAAAAGAGAAATTAGTTATAGTGAAGTATAGCAGAGCAGTTGGAGTCATCATCATCATCAACCTGGTTGCATCCACTGCTGGACATGGGTTGGGTCTCCCTCAGCTCTTTCCATTTGTCTCTGTCTTGTCCGGCTTGCATCCAGCTAACACGCTTTAGGTCGTTAGTCCATCTCTAGTTGGTGGGCGTCGTCTGTTCCGTATTGCTTCTTGTCTTGGTCTTCACTCTAAAATATGTTTTGGTTATCGGTTGTCTGATAATCTGGCGACGTGCCCTGCTCAATTCTATTTTAGCGACGCGATTTTTTATCACTTTTAAGTGCTGTATTTCGATCTAAATCCAGTTTGTTCTGTAGGCTGATAGAAGTCTAATTTAGCGTCCAGTCTTTTTTTAATAATTCTTGTGAAAAGTTTATATATGTGAAAGCAAACTGATAGAATGGTAGTTTTTTAGATCTGCTATATATCCTTGCTTGTATATTGACTGCATTGTTCCATTGAGAAGGAGTTTTTTCTTGGTAGATGCATTCGGTGAAAAGTTTGGCCAAAGCCTAGATCATTTTTGAAGGGTATTTGTTGTTTTTTATTTTTAAAAGTGCCGTTTTGATTTCGTATGGAGTTATTTCTGGCATTAATTCTGATCCCTGATCTTGCCTTTCGTCGGTACTCTCATACATTTCGCGAAACAAAGATTCAACAACTTCAAGAATTTTGGTTCTATCAGTAGTATTGTTTCCATCTTTGTTTTTTTATTTTGTATATATTTTTGTTGTCTCTGCTATTTGTATTTTGCCTCAAAACCTCTACACTTTTATTTTCTTGAATTATATTAGTTATTTCTCTTATATTGTTTTCTCTTGCGTCTTTTCGGATTGACCGGTGGACATCTTTATTGAATTTTTTCATTGTTGTGTAGTTGGAGCCGTATTTTTCCGTCAGCTGTCTTCTTTTACCTATTAGCTCTTTGGTATTTTGGCTTAGTTTTTCTTTATGGTCAGAACGGTCGGGCAGCACTCCCTTTCCGTTTCTTTTAGAGCCTTCATTATGCCATCATTTGCTTGATCTACATCTTCTATTTCATCTTGCAAGTCTTGTATATGTCTGGTTAGTGTATCTTCATACAGGTCGTTGTTTTCTGGGGAATCCATTTCTTTTTTCTTGTTTTTAGAATCATCTTTGTTCTTTCCAATTTGACATTTAATAGTATCTTAGCTCGGATTAATCTGTGGTCGCTTCCTATTGAAAATTTGTTGAGTACTTCGATGTCTTTGATTATTTCTTTTCTGTTTGTTATGATATAATCTATTTCATTTTTGACACTGCCATCTGGGCTGATCCATGTCCATTTACGCTGAGGCTTTTTATCGAAAAAAGAGTTCATCATGAATAAATTTTCCTGGTGTAAGAAGTTCAGCAATCTTTGCCCTCGTACATTTCTTTCGCCATAGCCATACTTACCCATTGCTACTTCTGCATCATCTTGTTTAAACCCCATTTTCGCATTAAAGTCGCCCATAATTATTGTGTAATATGCTGGTGTGGCATGTAACGCTGTTTCTAGGTCCTCATAAAATTCTTCAATTTCTTTATCCGAGTGGGTAGTCGTTGGAGCATATGTCTGGATTACCTTAAGGTTATATCTTGCATTTAGTTTGAAGATGAGATATACAATCCTGGGGCTTATGCTGATAATTTCAACTATATTTTGTGTGCTTTCTATGTAATAATCTCTCACCATTTGAAGTGTCTTCTTCACCTCTAAAATGAAATACGTGTCCTGATTTAAGAGTAATTTGGGCTTCTCTTCGTCTTATTTCGCTGAGGCTGATGATGTCCCATTTTATTCTTTTAAGCTCTTCCTCCAGTTCCATCATCTTTTGGTCTCTTGCATTTGTCGCCCTTTGCAGTAGCCTGATTTTTTCCAGGGATTCTTAGCACCATCTGATCCAAACCTGTTCCAACCGCTACCTTGGTTGGGGGTGTTGGAGCCGCCACAGACTGAAGGCCGTTCTGTAGTTTCGTCTTTTATGGAAAATAACTTTTGAGGTTTTAAGCTATTAAAACTCCACGCTTGGCTAGTGTGTGTTTGCGAGTTGGTTTGGAAGTGTGGGGAGGGAAGGGTAGAGATGGTAGTATTAAACAGTTGAAGTATTAAACACAATATTCAAAGTATAACTGCATTCAGCAAAACTATATCTAGTGCACAGTGCACAGTAATGAACAGTACTGTACACATGTGACGCAGATCAAAACCCGAATAAGAGCAGAAAGATGAAAATGTGGGAGAGAAAAATCATACGAAAAATTTTAAATTTATAAGCAGAGATATAAAGGAAACAAAATCAGATTGAAAAAGACGAACTAACCAGGAGATATATGGATTTCTCAAAATTACACAGAAAATTAGGACACAGAAAGTGAAAACAGGGGAAACACTATCCAACAATTTAAGAGCAAATTAATTATTTTTTGTTTGTTTGCTTTGTGCTTCTGCGTTAAAACTATAAATTATATTTTATTTTAAATAAACGAACAGCAACTTTTAGCGTAATAATTACTAACGTTCATATATAATTCTTGAAATTCAAAGAAATTTAAATTGTACCTTCGGTTGATATTTATAAATTCTTATTTAGCTCATGTAAAAACCAGTGTTTTTGGTATTCTTGAGCTGGACGAAAAGAAAACTTGAAAAACCATTTTTGTATTCGCGTATCATATTCATATCGACGGTTTTCTCCTCTCTAAAAGTGTTCAAAAATGGAAAAAGTAGCAATTGTATGAAGCATTCATACGGAGAGATCGAGATAAGAATTCATCGGCAATAAAAAATGAGTCAATAAATAAATTTGTCTTCGGGATCTGACAACTATCTCAACCGTTTCAGTTTCTGCAAAACAGCATCTTGCGTTTTAATCTTCCATTCTTTCTTCTCCCTATATAAGGACAATACGAGAATTGATCCTCGTTTACAAACTGACCCAATGAAACCGCAATCATAGATCAAAAAAACAAAAATGATTAAAATATATCGGTTATTCAGCACAGGTCTTGTAAACTCGCGAATGGAATACACTAAGAAAAATGACTTTATAGGTATTTCATAACTTGTTACTTGGTAGTTTGTTCAGAATACAAATGAATGAATATATAGATGAAGGAAATATACTACTGAAAAT